TCATCATCCTCGTCATCATCATCATCCTCATCATCATCATCATCCTCGTCGTCATCATCATCATCATCCTCGTCATCATCATCATCATCATCATCATCATCATCATCCTCGTCATCATCATCATCCTCGGCATCATCATCATCCTCGTCCTCATCAACATTAGTCACAGATAATCCCCCACACCCAACTGAAACGGTTTCTTACAGTTGTTCTATTCCTTTAAAAAGGATACGTGTCGATAATATTGCACTGGCAATTGACAATATTAACTTTGATTGCCACGTTCCTTTAAAAAAGGATACGCGTTGATCCTCTCCCCACCCTAGCTGAGCAATTAAACTATAATTGCCAGGTTCGCATCGAAAGACTCCCAAAAGACGATCTCCCTCCGCCATATGAGAGGATTTGCTACTTACCACGAATACCAAAACGTAAACGTCCGGCAGCAAGTGATAAAAGAAAATAAAGATGTTCGTACTAAAACTCATTTTGCTTTTATCTATTAATTTTAATCAATGCATGATTATTAAAATTGCAATTCTTTTTATTTTGTTTTTATTAATACATCTATTCTTATTCAACTAATCAGTCTGCCATTAATATAATGCTCATTATTACATAAAAAGAGATAATAATTTGTTCTTTACTTACTTAGATTTTATTTATTATCATATCTTCAATATTATTAGTGGTAATTTTGCTATCGTCAAATTTATGTATCAATATTATGTACATAAGTATTAGTTTTTATGAATATGATACACATAATCATAGAATTTATACTTTCTATAGGATATCAGTCAGTACTCCATATGTCGTTCTACAATCACACCCATAATAGTAATGATGTTAACTGCGTGGATTATCGTGAATGAATGGTGCTTTAATATTTCTAGTCTATTTTTTCCTGTCAATAGGCAATATCTCTTTTTATGTATATAAATGGATCTTATCTATTCACCAAATTTTGTATGAAAAATCTGAAAGCATAATTTTCGTCTATATGCTTTTCTTGTGTTCGTTCTAGCTAATATTGTTTGAATACTATGGAGAAGAACTGCATCGATCAGAACAAGTGGAATTTTGTTGAGATCTGTGGCAAGCACAGAATGAAAATGATAATAGTAATAATAAGGATGCTGTCTATGGAAACACTATTAACAATGACTTTAGATAATATCTACATGTTAAGTGTCAGAATTGTTTTTATGCTCTATGAATGAATGAATTAAATAATTGTTTATATGTAGATATATTGATAATGTCTTCATGACAACAAACTTACCTCTCGATCAAATCAATAAATTATTCTATAGAGCAAACGTCGGAGATAAAAAACATTCTAATTAGCCGATCCATTGGAGCAACGATAATCAAGGACAATGAACAACAAACGTCTTTCATAAACCAGTATTTTTATCTGATCATCTACGTCATATTCATGTCAATACTATTAAGAGGGTCTTATTTTGAAAAGTATGTCTTTGTTCAAATGTGGAGTTTGAATAAAAAACGGTTGAACATTGAACTTACGTTATTATTGAACAGGTATCCACCAAGATTAATTTCATATCATGTTAAACAATTCTTTCAACAAAAAACCTTGTATCAGTTATGGAGCAATTAGGTGATGGTTAATAGCTGTACCTGTATTTTAAACGTAAGTTTGGGTGACCATAAATTCGAATTTATCGAGAAGACACTAATTACCTAAAAGTAGAGAAGAATAGATGAAAAAGAAGAGAAACAATAACACAGAGCAAACCTGTTATATTTATTGTTTTGATTTCGATGTTTGGATTTGAAACATAAATGTTAGAAACATAGACAGTAAAATCGACTAAAACTTACGCATAACTAGAACTTAAGATCTAAATTCAATACTTGTTTGATTAAAAGAATCTTTTTTCATTCTTTTATATTTTTAACTCTGACTCATCCATACATATACAAATATAAATAATATATGTTTGTAACAATGTGACTACGCATAACATTTTTTCCCACTACTATACATGAAGATCGAAGTAATAATTTAATGAAAGATAAGTTAATTATTTCTCAATCAAGAAACAATATTATGACATTCAATTATACATCCTAGTTTTATATTATCATTTAATTTAGAGATCTGATTTATGTTTACATTAGTCCTATTTGCATTTTCTTTCTAGATTAGCCGTGACTGATTTTAAAAGAAAATTTCGGAAATAAAGGTTTGTTATTGTTGAAACTTACCATTTTTTTTTCATTTTCATATGTTTTAGTTTTTTCAACCATAATTGTTATCATTTGAACTGTACGATGTGAGATAATTTTGTATATGTATGATAACTAGCATGAAAAAAAGAAATTAATATTCATTTCATATAATCATCTATCTTTTCTTTTTTTTTCTAGATTCATATTATAATTATCGTGTCGATGAAGTATGAATAAAAACTACAATTATAAAACAAAAACAAAAAAACAAACAAACTAGAAACAACTTACTCGGATGAATAACGTAAATGAAATGAGAGGAATAACAGAATATCAAGTTATATAGTCTCCCTTCTCTCTCTCTCTTTGTCTCTCTTATTATTCACTCCATTATCAATTCCAGGCACGTAGTCAGGACAAATGTGATGTTGCGCAGAATAAATTATGCATATTTTCGAGTTTTATTCAAATATGTATCTGTTTTTTTGCGTAGTAACATATTATCACGTATATTGTACACTTCGTTCTTATATAGATAATGGGAGAATTAGTAATCGAATTCCTTCACGTATCCTTCCCACCCTCAAGACGTGACATTCCTTACCTTTTATATGAATAATACGCCTTCTGTCACGTACATCCACCTAAATTCCATCCTCTCTTCTTCTCTTTCCTTCGACACTATATAAGGACGTTAGTTTCTTCATTCATATTCATTCATCATTCAACAACGATTATCATCACATAAGCAAGTAAGTTGTTTCTTTTTAGTTTTCTTTTAGTAGTATATTATGAGTTTACCCGTGTTCAAACTCAATAATATGGATATCTATGATAATCATAGGATGATTTTATCACAACTATTGTATTTTAATCTATATCTTTTTGTTAGTTGTATTATACGTAATATTGATTTCTAGATTTTAGTTCATTTATATGCTGATGAACTTCATGTTTACTAAGGACGAATACGCCAACATTTGATGAAATTAGTCACTATTATTATTACAAATCTTTTCTATTGCATGTTTATTATATCTTACTTCTTTTACTTTCAGTTCATATAGAACTACTATCTAATACAATCTTTTTTTTTATTCTAGATATTTTCATATCATCGTAATTGTTATATAGTCTCCACAAATATACCATCATCATTTACAAGCTATTATGATAATAATACATGAATTGTATAATCTAATATCTTGGTCAAATTATTATTGTATTGTATATTTTCTTAGGATTTTGATAACTCAATTTCAATTTCCACGGAGCAACTACTGGATAGTATTGTTAAAAGTTGAAGGAAAATTAAATTACTAATACTATTACTTGATTAATTATGTGATCATTATGAACAAACTTTCGTTGATGTGCGAATACAGAAAAAAAATACAAAAAAAGTAATTATTATCTTCGTTCTCTTTCCTTCAAACAAAAAATATTTATGCAATAGCATATTTGCACGTATTAAGAACAAAAAAGATACATTTTTTCTTATTTATCTTTTATAAACAAATACAAAATATACATTGCTATGTATTTATTCATATTCACCATTATATAACTATTCCTCCCACATATATTAATGCGTAGGATAGATTAAAGTATACATTCCTTCTTATAGATATAAATACTCATTGTTTTTCATATAATATTCATATTTTATTATAGCTAACATATAAGTAAGTACAAATTATATTTTTTCTTAGATTAGAACAATAGAGATTATATATTTTAATATTATATTTTCTCATCATATTGCAAAGAATTATTGTGAATAATGATTACCTACAACACAATATAGAAACGAATATTGAAAAAAAACAAATCAAATATTAAACATAAAGTAAGATTTTATTAAAATACATTCAATAATTTATTACGATAAATCCAAACACAACAACCACTTTATTCATTTTCGTTTATATACATTATATTAAAACTAATTAAATCTATTTTATATTGGCAATTGTTTGTATTAATTATTCTTCGGATCTAGTAAGTACTCATTTACATATATTTAAAGTATTAACGATTAATAAGAATTTTTTTTTCTATTCGAATATATCATCTAAAGAATGAACTTCAATTTATGAAACTTTTCATTATTAACAGATGTTTTATGTTATATTTCTTAGAAAAATAATTAAGTATCCTATATCTTATTTTATTTAACTTGTTATTTTAGATAATAAAGTACTATTTTCCAAAAACAATGCGTCGATTTCAACCACAACTTTTTTCTTCAGAGTTATTATCATCAGATCGAGTTGTCGAATATGTATGTGATGATGAAACTTATATAACACAAGGTGAACAGAATAATAATCTTCAACAACAATCAACTAAACAGGAAATACAACCATTGAATTGTTCAAATCCAACTGTGAATCGTCTGTCTCTATTACCAGCTTATCCAACATTTGATCGATTTGGACCTATTAATCGAGATCATTTACTTTTGGCTAATATTCCTTCTCGAAACTTAACAAAAGAGCAACGACAACGTCGTACTTATCATTCATTTCATCAACCATTTACTTTAACTGATGAAAGTGTTCATATTAGTGTTCGATCACCGTTTATGAAAATATACGATGAATTATATGGAGATTTAACTAAACGCTTCCAAATTGATAATGCTATTCTTGATTATAATTATCAACGTCTTCATACTTGTATGAATATTATGGTACAAGAACGAATTCGATATGGTTTACTTGCAATGGATACTATTGGTATGAAAGAATTACGAATTATTGAACATGCATTAGCTATGGAATTTTATCTACAAATTGATGGTATAATTTTATTATTTGTATGATCATATGATTATGTATTTATTTTAGGTGAATTGTTTTTTATGAAAACATGTTGTTTTCGTAATGCTCAACCATCATTATACAATCATCATGGTATCTTTTCTATTGATGAACCAAAAGCTCTCTATGGTCTAGAACCATGTAAACAAGTTACATGTCGATTTTGTTTTCCAATTAAAGATATTTTTATTCATGGACGACAAAATCAACCAGTTGTTCAATTTTCTTCAGCACAAAAACATCGTTTTGTCAATGGATACGAAGCTATTCTCAATTGTCCAACGGTATATACTATCACATGTATAATGTTTTCATCTCTTTCATTGATTTAGACGTGTACTACAAAGAATATCATCTATGCATTGACATGTCCTTGTGGTCAATATGATTATATTGGATATACATCTTTAACACTGGATGAACAACTCAAATGTTAGTATATTTTATTTTTAATAAATGATAATTATCTTCTATATATAGATCATCGTGAACATGGAAATCGAATCATGCATGAATTTATACTTGACTCAAAAAATAGTACACACATGCAACAACAAACTAAATCACAAGAGTAATTAAATTCTTTTCGATATATATATCTATTTTACTATACATACATTAATTCCAGAGAATTAATAGTTGATACTATGTTACTTTATAAACATTCAATTCGTTGTTCATCAGCTATCCAGCTATTTCTTGATTGTAATCCACAATATTGGGATTTTGTACCTATGTTAAAAACAGAAATACAAAATTCACTTAGAAATAATTTACTATCAATGCCATCTGATAATTATACATTTTCTGCATATCAACGTTTAAAACAAATACAAGTATTGAGAGATAAACGTGAATGTCTTAAACCGAATTTGCATCTTGATCTTTACAATGCTACAATTATTGCCGCGATGCCAGACAAACCTACAGAATTATTTTGTTGTTTAATTGAAGTATTATTCATTACACATGCTCAAACAAAATTAAATACACTTGGTCATCTTGATGGAATGATTGTTGAAAATAATAATAGCAATGATATCAATGCTCGATTAGTGAGTGATGGTCATGATAATAACTGGTGTGAAAATCTTGTTCGTCGTCCGGTAATCTTACATGAGAAAACACGAACATTAACAAATCCTCGAATGAATCCACATTTTCAATAAAATAAACTTTTATCTTTGTTTCTTTTTGCCTTCATTTAAATCATATGCTTATTTATATCTTTTATTCTAGATTTCTATTATTTTATTAATTATAATGTCCGACAATGATGAACAACAAGAAGAATCACGAAAGAAGAAGAAAAAATCTCGTGGTAATCGTAAAATACAAAGATTTAAAGCAAAATTAAAGAAACAAGGATTAAATACTGAAACAATTAGAATGATGATCAATACATATAATGATCGATCATATCAACCTGATGTTGAAAATATAGCAGATTTAATAAATCAAAATATCAACGTACAAGATCTTGTTCAATTGAACCAACAAGTAGTATAATAATTGTATTAAAAGTAAAGATTTCATTTTCTTCATTTATATTAAATAGGAAGTACAAGATGTACTTGAAGATGCTGTAACAACGGTAACAAAAAGGAAACGAGAGGTAAGACCAACAGGTGTTACTACATCAGTTAGTCAAATCTCTATGGTACAACCACTTGAAAAACGGCTACGTTCTACTACTGCTCCATTTCTTGATGTAGTTCAACCAAAGGATAAGTCGGACAGGTCAACATCAGCTGTGAAACCAAATTATTTAAAGACATCTGATCATATTTTTAAAAAGATGTTATCAACAGCTTTAGAAGGTACTGAAGATATCATTCGATTATTAGATACACCAGAAAAATTAAAATATACTCGTGAATATGCTCAACTTGTCAACGATTTATTCTATTTAAGATTGAAACAAGATTTTTGGAAAGATTATTACTAGATTCTTGTCGCTACAGGAGTATGGTCCATGAAATTATCAAAACAATTCATTAAAGAGAATAAATTAGATCAAATTCAATTTGTAACACAAAAAAATGTTGAAAAATATCGACAGACAACTATAGAGCAATTAAAGCAAGCTGAAATTAATTTAAATCAACATAAACAAATAGAATTTGGACAATCGATCGATTTACAAAAATTATCAACAATAATTCATGCATTTGTACGTAAAGGTCAACATAAATTATCGACTGATTTTGAATACAAAAAATCATTATTACAATTTGATACTACTGATTATCATTTAGTGCAAACATTCTATGATTTAAAACTATCTGAAGATCAGGTTTGAATTATTATAATGAAATGTGTGATATTATAAATTATGATTTATGTTTAGATTATTTCAGCAAAAATGATTTGGCAAGCAACAATGGACAAACAACAAGCTGAACAAAATGTTGCCATATTAAAAAAACGACTCTACATAAAACGATTACCAGCTTCATATAATGTTCTTGATCATTCAATAGATAATATCGAAAAGATGGTTCAAAATCTAGCACTTCATCAAGATGAATCTGCAACAATATTATCTCGACGTCAAAAAATGATCGGTCAATTTAAATATGATTTGATATTATTAGAGATTAGTACAAATGAGCAAATAGCTCGAAATCATACAAATATTATTGCTAGTGAGAAGAAAAAAATAATTGAATCTGCTGGTGTACACGTTCCATTACCAAAATTACTTGTTGGTATTTTAAGTGCTATTTCTTCACGTCAGTCAAATATTATTAAACGTGCTGAATTAATTACTAATCGTAAGGTGTCTTTTTTCGAGGAAGCTCCGGTGGTTATAGAAGAAAAGCAGGTGGCTGGAACAACCACCGGAGCAATGCATTAAAGAAATTTAGCCATATTCATTTATCATCACCAATCATTGAAGTAGCTCCATATCCTTCATTAAATTATATTGAATATCTTGCTAATGGGCCACCTTTTATACCAATTTGTCAAAGTCATTTCTCAAATTCATCAGTAGATATTAGAATTACAAAACAATATGAAGCACTTGTTGATTCATTTAAAAATAGTTTTCATGACAATTGCGTATTAGGTTCTGATCAACGAGCTAACGACTTTTTTGCAGCAATCAAAGATTTACTGTTAATATCTCATACAACACCATTACCACCTAAATTATTAGCTCGTGCTCAATATGAACAACAAATGATAAAGACTATTAAACGCATTCGCAATAAACATGATATAATTATACGAAGATCAGATAAAAGTAAAGTATTTCATTTAGCAAGTGCTAATAGTTATCATGATAAATCACTTGCATACATGAAGAAAACTGAAGCTTATCAAGAAATTGAAAGTGGTATTAATCCAATTAAAGATCATTATGATCAAATTGTAGCATTACTAACGCCATTATTAAATAAGAAAGCAAATAATTTTAATATTTGGAAACAATACATGTATCCAAATATTCAAACAATCGAATTACCTCATCTTTATTTTATACCAAAACCACACAAAGTAATTATATTATGGACTATACTAATAGTATTCAATCTTTTATTGTTTTATGTTTAGATTGGTACACCATTGAGACCAATCATATCAATGATACGATCGCCAGCTATAGGTGTATCACATTTCTTGGATCAATTTCTTCGTCCAATATTTGATCAAGCAACTAAACAAACAACGTTTATTAATGATATTCATTTTGTTCGACGACTCGAGTTTTATCAAAGTATTAGTCTTCTAACATCAACAACAAAATTTATTACATTTGATGTTACTGACCTTTATACAATGATACCAAGACATGGAGCACTTGTTGCATTAGAACAATTCTTAAATGAACGTGCAACAAATGGTAGAATCAATGGGATGGCAATTAATACTCTCATGAAATTAGCTGAAACAGTTTTGGATACAAACTCATTTGTTTATGAAGGCAAATATTATAAACAAATTCGTGGTGGAGCCATGGGATCACCATTTACAATGACTTTAGCTAATATTTATATGTTAAAATGGGAACAATCATTAATTGAACATCAAAAAGCTCATAATGAATTATATGGCCGGTAAGAAAATAAATTTGTATCTTTCTCAATATTTTGTTTATTTATTCTATAGATATATTGATGATGTTTTCATGACCACGAATCTTCCTTTAGATCAATTTAATATCTTACTTGATCAAGTAAATAATGCAGATGAAAATATTAATATTACTCGATCAGTTGGATCAACTGCAGAATTTCTTGATGTCTCAGTCTTTAACAATGAAGGACAATTGAAAACTACTGTTTTTCATAAACCAGCAGCAGTACCTTACATTCTACCATTTCAATCTGATCATCCACGTCATGTTCATCGTAATACAATTAAAGGTGCTCTTTATCGAGCAGTTCGTCTTTGTTCACATGTGAAAGATTTCGATGAAGAACGACTACATATTGAACTGACATTATTATTGAATGGTTATCCACCAAAATTTATTTCATATCATTTTAAACAGTTCTTTAAACAAAATAATGTTATATCATTGATGGAACAATTAGATAATGATATTTATCGACAACTTCATGATAAACTAATTCATTTACCAACACGACGAGAAAGAAAACGACAACAACAGCAGCAGCAGATGGATTCAGATCCAAGTGAACTAGAACAAAAAACTTGGAATAAGAAAGAAGTTCGTGTTCATTTTACTTATTCAAGTGGTCCAATGTCAGATTTTCCACAAAAGCTACGTCAATTATGGAACAAGTACTATGTATATCCTGGTTCATCAATGAATAACGTGACATTGAAAATTGGTTCAGGAACCAACAAATCTCTTCAGCATTTATTAGTGAAGAAGAAGCCACCGAAATCTATGCTAATCAATATTGATCCTACAAGTATTTAAGAAATAAGGTTAGATTATCATGTTTTGCACAGTTCTTTAGACTCGAAATGTTAATCTTCTATTTTAGAATTGAACTATGATAATATATGATTATTCCAGCATCTCAATATTTATTTTGTCTCACTTCTTATAACATAATATCGTATCGTTTTTTTTTGCTTTTTTCGTATGTCTCTTATTAAATAATCATATTCATGAATTTTTTTAATACGCATCATATTATGCAAAACAATAACATATTCTAATCTCCAGTTATTATTTATATTTCAGATCTATCGTTCTTCATCGAAATTAGAATACTATTACAGTTATGGAATCAATGCATACTAGTTTTATAGAAGATCATTATGTATCGTATTCTGATATGCAGCAACAGCAACAAATCATACAAGTATCACAAAATTTTCAATCATTACAACAAGACAAACGTAAAAAGAAAAGCCGTGGTAATCGTAAGTTGCAACGATATCGTCGAAAACTTCGTAAACTAAATCAGAACACAGATTCAGTCAGTAAAGTATCAAATATGGTCATGGATAATGATGTTCTTTCAATATCTGATGAAGTCACAAACGAAACTGTAGTGGACCATTCGACAAATGTGATAGAAAAGAATGAAATTGTTCAACAACAAGTCATGGATAATAAAACGACTATTGAATTAAATCAAGATGTATCAACAAAGAAAAAGAAATCACAAATGGTTACAAATGATTCAGCTGATTATAAGAATATATCTGATGATATCTTTATTCAAATATTATCAACTGCATTTGCTAATACAAATAAACTTAATCAGCTGATGAATCAAGAACAACAAATCTTGTTTATTCGTGAATATACAAATTTAATTGATCGATTGTATTGTTTACAATTACAACAATCACAATGGAACTATTATCATCATATTGGTATAACACAAAATATATGGACAGGTCGTATGGCGAAACATTTAGCTGAAAAGACTTCCATATGTCATGCATATGGTAGATCGAAAACTCTTGTTGAACAACGACAAAAACAAATCGAAAAGCATCTTCAACAAGCACAATATGCTGTACAACAGTTTGAACAACACATAATTATTAAAATGGTTCAACATAGTGGCTGTTCATCTGAAATGAAAGTTTTATTTTCAGTTCTTCAAAAATTTGTACAAGATAAACAACGATCAATACAATATGACTATGAATATAAAAGAGAGATGTTAATTCTCGATGCAACTGATCATCAATTACTAAAAGAGTTTTTCAAAGTCGAACCAAATAAGTCACAAGTAAGAACAAAATCTATACTTTGTTAAATTGAACTTTTTATTAAAATCTATTTTAATTTCTTTTAGATTCTCTCAGGAAGACGAATATGGCAAGCTACACAAAAACAAATGATGATACTCGAAGATATTGTTCTGTTAGAATATCGTCTAACATCAACACAATTACAATCAGCATCTAACTTGATCGAAAATATGATTAGTGATATTGATAATCATCTCAAACAATCCTATCAAACTGCTGAACAATCCAATGAAATCAAGAAACTTCAAGATCTAAAACATGATATTATTCATCAAGCTGTTCTTACTAGTCGTCGAATGGGAAATGATTTTAATGCAATTATTGAAAAGGAGAAAAAGAAATTTACATTACAAAATAGATTTATTCAATCAACAGCACAATGGCAAAACCTTGTGTTCGATGCCATTGAGATACGACGACAACATATGATAAAGCGTGCTAATTTCATTATCAAACATAAATTGGCAACATTTTCCAATACATCTAACGATCGTAATGATAATATATAACATCAAAGATAATATGGAGAACAATAAGCAATTAATATTTCTTTTTATTCTAAATATATATATATATCTATTTTATCAGTCATTATTATTAATCTTTTATATTGCTTTCAATTCATATAAAGCAGATATCTAATAAAATCTTCTTTATTCTAGATAATAGTTCCACATCATTATAATTATTATATAACTTCTACCAGTATACCATCATCATTTACAAGCTATTATGATAACTCAATTGAAATTTTCCATTGATCGATATATTGTCAAAGATCTGAATGAAAATTAGATTATTATTACTATGAATTAATTAATTTATTATAGATATTTGTGATGTATAATTATGTAACCATTATAAACAACCTGATTTTGATCAATATGATTTTTATTCGATAACACATTGATGTGCAGATGGAAAATAAAAGTAATATAATAAATGTAATCTACTTCTACCTATTCTTTTTCTCCTATATTCTCTCTTCTGTTATCTTCATTCTACATTGTTTCCTTTTTTCCTTCTCTTTCTTTAAAAGAAAGTATTTATGCAATAGCATATTTGCACGTATTAAGAACAAAAAAGATATATTTTTTCTTATCTATCTTTTATAAACAAATACAAAATATACATTGCTATGTATTTATTCATATTCACCATTAATTAACTATTCTTCTCACATATATTAATGCGTAGGATAGATTAAAGTATACATTCCTTCTTATAGATATAAATACTCATTGTTTTTTATATTATA